CCCGAAATGAGGACCACATGATCGGCATGTTGTTGTCTTAGAATTTGAGGAGGGGGTATAACCACGATTAGAAAGGCACTCTTTTTACCACAACACAAAACCATTTTACCACGATTGGTTTCGCAATTCTAGGCATGATAAGGGCTGAGGGGTGCAGTTTCATGCGCGAAGCCGTGTTTTCGGTGATATCAGGCCTAGGGAGCCGTATTTTTGGCCCATTTAAGGCCTAATAGGACCAAAAATACGGCTCCCGCGGGAGCCGTCTTTTGGTCCGTCTAAGGCCTAATAGGGCCAAAAATGCGGCTCCCGCTGGAGCCACTACTTTCCTCACATACGCAACTCCACATAGTATAGCCCAAGTATTACATAACTACCTTCCTCACACATGCAATCCCAAATAGTATCTAACAATCTAGGATCCCAGGCCTTGCTTCTGGACACCAAAAAAAATGTCTCTCTGGGCCCGGCTTCTGGTGCCATTAGGGCGCTACTAGAGATTGGCGGGAGCCGTATTTTTGGCCCTACTAGGCCCTAAACGGACCACAAAATGCGGCTCCCGCCAACCTCTTGCGCAACAAGCTCCGGGGCTTTGTTTCCTGTGAAAAGGCTTGGGAGACACGTTTTCGGTGTGTTTCAGGGCTAATAGCACCAAATATACGGCTCCCAAGCCCTATTGTGATCTATTGTGGAAGAGAGGCTCAGAAATCATTGTAAAATTAGAACCTATCACTGTAAAATATTTCCCTGTCGTGGTAATACCTCTGGCTCGTTTTCAATCCTCCCAAAACACTGAGACATTGGCCTCATGTAGATTCTAGCCTTCCAACGAGCCTGCTGAAGATCCGAAATGATTTCACTGGGCTGGGAGGCCAGATTCCCTTGACTAGGTCCTTGCAGAATATTGTGTGCCAACTCTTGCAAGAAGGTTCCACAAATTCACAAATGATCTCCCTTAGCGTTGAGGGAAGTTTGGTGGCTCCAGTTCACTTGCTGATTTCAGAGTTTCACGATTATACTCCCTCACCCTCGGAAAAAATGTTGGGGGGTGAGCCCGACGGCCCACAAGATGCTAAAGGCTCGCTCTGCGCCCACTTCAAGCAGCAATTTCACAAAAACAGCCTTCGGACTTCGGACCTTCGGTTCCAATTTTCTCCTAGACTCGGCCAATTTCTTGAGCGCGACTCTGGCCGAAAGAAGCTAGCTGGGGTACAGTACAATCCAGCACAGTTTCAGAAAACAGTGCTTACAAACTTCTTGGGCCGTATGAAATGACAAGTGTAAGAAATGGTTGCATTGAAGAGATGGAGCTTCTAAATCTACCTGAGGGTCGGCTTTTGTTTATTCCCGGGGCCTTATGCAGCATGTCTAATTACAATTACACGGCCGCACATCTCGTTCGCCGTATCTTCAACCTTGTGTTGTATTGTACCTTGACAAAATCACCTGATCGTCGTTGGACTATGCACTTGGCTCTTGTTGCAAAGGAAACTATGGCCTATCTTGTTCAATCCAGGGCCTCTTTCTAATTTTCACAGGAAAACTGAACCCAGACGCAAAAATACCAACACGCCTAGCCTTCTACTCTCTTTCGGAAATACATTTGGCTGCTCACCTGAATAGGATGCGAGGAAAAATGAAAATTACTTGTTTATGGAACAGTGGAATTCAAGCAAGGTGCCCCACATCGTTTTGCAGTATACGTGGGCATCGTTATGGGGTATCATTGGGGTGCCCCGTATCGTTCTGCAATGTTCTGCAGTGGTTTTAGCATCTGTCCACTCATAAAGGGAATTTCGAGCCCGGCTCAAACACTGTATTGAATCATTAGCTCGACTTCCACGGATTTGGCTCGAGGCCAAGATGACTCTTGCGCTGCCAGCTAATCAGTAATTCCACCACCACGAAAGCAGCTATACATCGAGCACTATTTGACGGCAGCTGCTGGTCAGCCTTACGAAGCCAAGGAAACTTGTCCAAGACCAATGTTGAATAAGGTTTCGCCTAGACGAGATTAGCGGTTACCTCAGCGTCGGACCTGCTGATAGGATCACCTCCTCGCGAGCAAAGTGTTGTTGAAGAACTCCGGAGCTGTCTTTCTGGAAGCCACCACCTCTAGATGCAAGATTTTGCAGGACAGCTTTCGACCCAGCTGCTCCATCTGACGAAGCCATGCCTGGCTTCGGCTTGGGCGAGGGGATGGTTTCCACCCCGATGATCTTGTTGCCTTCAGAAAGTAGGCGCACTGCCATTTGATTGGTAATCACCTGCCAGCCGGCACTGGTCCACGTCCAGGGCAGATTTAAATGATTCTCCAAAGTTGCCGAGCAGCTGTGAGCCGCTTACCAGCTTCCTCGTCCTCACCAGGACATTGCGTGGGGAATGCACGGACATGATGAAAAAATGCCACAGTGGGGCACACCCACACGCAGACACAGCGGCTTCACAACCTTCCTCTGCGTTCTTCGGATGCATCAGCGGTCGCAGGTAGCATTCCCAAGTACTTGCTCGCTTGCCGTCGGGTCTAGGCCGCAGGTCTTCAAAGCCGCCGGCGAAGTTGCGATCTGTCACTGAGTGCCGGGCGTGACGGTCATATCCATCTGCCCAAACCCTTCTTGTTGGAAGCCGTTCATGTCGTCTGTCCTGGGAACCGACCACAGTGTCTCTTTGCCCTCAGATTGTCAAGTGCAAAGCAGTATTAGCAGTCCTTGGGTATCCAGCCTCAAAGATGCAAAACGAGTGGGCATAGATTTGTGTGACTGTTGCTCATCGCGGGAGCCTGCTCACCGGCTGCAATGAACGCCTCGTTGATTGCTGCCACGGCTGCTGTTCGACGGCGTGTCACTGCAAGTGGTCCAGAGCCTACATTTGCGGGGGGATGAGAATGATGAGAGGACAACATCTTCACCTCGACGGCCATCGCGAGCCTCCGCGGTACAAAGACTGGCCCTCTTGATGAGCTTGCGCTTTGCGGTAGTAGGGCAGGATGTTCCTCATAGCTTATTGGCGACAGTTCTTTCAGCTCTAAGTTGTGGAGTCCAATCCTGTAGGACCAGGCAGAACCATCTTCTCCAATTTCCTGTGCCCAACGTTCGTAGTCCAGGGCGTGTCCTCGCCTTGGCATTGGCGGCAGCAGGACATCTCAAGTCCAGAAGGCCCTCATAAGTCTGATAAGTGCAGGCAGAAAACACGTAGGCCATAGCATTTAGGCTGGAGGAACCACCCAAGGCTCGACCACGTGGCTGGTGCAAACGGCGACCATCCATGTGACGCTGAGGCACTGTGTAGAAATCCCAGTTGTACTTGGCCTTCCATGCTTTGCTCAAACGCAGCAGTGCCTGTTCACTGGGGCAAGCCACTCAGATCCGGACGTCAGCCAGGTTGAAAGTAAGGGCGGCAGGCATGTTAATCTTCCACCAATCCCACCGACCATGATGGCTCTTCCCATTCTCAATTAGGAGCACCTCGGATGCATCGCAGAAAATCCCTCGCAATCCTGCAGTTACAGCTACGTGACTCCCTCAACTGCAGCTTAGCTTGTCTTCGTGGCTTGGCTTTGGCTTGGCTTTGGCTTGGCTTGGCTTTGGCTTGGCTTTGCAAGGCTGCACAATGACAACCAGGTGGAGTTGCATCATAATAAGAGACACAATCAAACAGTCGGCCAAGAACGCTCCAATGCTGGATAATCGGCGACATGCTGTGCAAATGTTGTGACACAACGAAGGGCAAGGAGCCTTGGCACCTGCATCCTTGACAAGGCGATGTGCCACAACGGCACCAGCTGAACCAGCACCAACAATCACGTAGTCAAAGCATCCTTTGCCTGACAGCAGCCAGAAACTATGTGCCGTGACTTAGTGCAAACTGTCGCTTCAACAAGCGAACTATGCATGAGTAGCTGAACTAGCCTGCCGCACTGCTCAATGACCTGCTCGCGGCCAGGCTCTTGGCAGTTCTTCTGGACAACATCCTCTACTGTCTTCACTGTTAGTATCATACTCTGTCTGGGACAACGGCTAATTCTCTAAGTGCTGCAGTGTGAGTGGCTCCCTGGCTGTCTCACCTTCTTGCTGATTGAAGCTGGCGGCGGCGAAGCAACAGCCTACGCTGACTTGGCGTGATCCAGAAGCGTCTCAGAGCATGTCGCAGCCCCGCATCTGCTTCGTCCGCAGACTAAGCGGCCAAACCAGTTATGTACGCACTAAGCGCAAAAACGCCCTATGGAAGCTTTGGGCAAATCCGCGGGTGCCGTGTGCGGAAATCAGGCTGGGCAAGGCATGACCTGCCCGACCAGCACCCACTTGTAACCGCCAATTATTCCCAGTTGCAGTGTAGTTAGTCTATGATGCACACGTTCGAAAGCATCCAGCTGCAAGACTCTGGGAGGTTAAGGCTGACTACAACGCCATTATTCCGGTGGCACCGCCAAAAAGTGCCAAGTTCATGAAGAATTTACGCCAACCTTCGAACTGCTGGCAGAAAGATTCCGGGTGATTCCTGGACCCTCAAATACCATGCATGGCTTGCATACTTCGAGTCTTGTCAAAATCGCTCCGCACATACAAATGGCAGCATCGATTTCACATTTTCCACGTTCTCGAGCATTCCCCTGCTCTGCAGTGGCTAATCCTGTCTTGCAGCGCTGCTGTTTTTTGATGCCTATATCATTGCCCTACTCCACGTAACATCACGTAACAAGATAATGAGTAGAGACCTACAGCATCAAAGTGAGCAAATTGCTTGCAGGCAGAGACCTTGGCAAAAAACACACTCTGCATTTGTCTGGCATAAGCCAGGCCGGTCCTTTGCTGTACACAAGCCCCTGCGAAGTAGGCGCCAGGTATTGCTTCACATCCCATACAAGCCGGGATGCACTGCTGCAGTGAGTCAGCTGTTGCCGCACTATTTGCCTCTCATTGCAGGAATGAGGCAGAGAGTCTTAAGGTATCTTAAGGTAACAGTTGAGCGCTCTCAGATGCGACTCAGGTAACTATGCACACATATGTGCGCCATTGGCCAACTTGTCTTCTAGAGACACCTGTCTGCGCCGACAGGTTTAAGCATTTGCAGTTGACATCTCTCTCTGGCGGTGCAGCAGCACCGCGCTGGTGCAATCGGCTCATCGTGTGGGTGCGTGGGTGTCCAAATAAGAACCACCCCTTAAGGATACTTACCATCCCAGAAGTATACCCACTCTGAGCCTCAATTTTCGTATCACTTGCCCTCGGGCGCATCCACAATTCCACCTGGTCAGAGCGGGAAGCAATCACAGAAGCGGCTATCAGCGCATCTCTCGAGTCAAACCTGCATCGATGGCGAACATAGCTTCGCCTTCTGGGAGAGAAGGCCTGATGTCAGCATTGCCATGGTAACGATGTGGCAGGCGGACAATAAGGCAGATCGACTTTGGAAGCTTGAGATCCAGGCGAATCGTAAATTTTACAGATGCGAGTCTCGCCCTGTGCAAGATGCTGTTTAAATGGTAGAGCACGCAGAATACGTAGCCTGCCATTGATTGCCTTGCCCTTCCGGAAGAAGAGCCGTGTCTGGCTTGCATGGCCAATGATATGTCCCCCGATGGGCTTGACCTGCTGCTGGCGAATGCTAAACACCCAAAATTAGGGGTCATGAAATGGTCTTGGACCTCTTATCAGCTGAAGGTAGCTTCTGCATTCTGCTGTGGTGCTGCCCTACGCTTGGCAAGATTTGAGCACTGGGTGCCTTAACTTGACAAAGCTGGCGGGACAGGATGAGCTCTTAACACTGAAGGAAGAGCCTGCAATATAAGCTACTTAACGGCTGCACTGCCGACGCTGGCCTGTGGACCCATATAAGCAGCTGGCCCACTCTCCGGAGATGCCATTACCTGGCCACTTTTTCTGAAGAGCATCTCTGCTTGCTACTGTGACTGTCGAGTCTCCAGCTCATTCAGAAATCGTAGCAGTTGTTTTGATAAAGCTTTTTCTGCTGAACGATGTCTGCAGTCCTCCTGTCCACAAGTGTGCTTTTGCAGTCTTGTGCGCATTGGATTGCATTTCTGTCCTCTTCCCTGCAAGTGCGGTTCATGAGATTTGCAATTAGCTGTAAAGACAGCTGTTTGTCGCTCACGTTTCCAGACTGTATTTGGTGCCAGGGTCATCCGCTAACAGCATGCTGATGTATTCGTGGATGCGCTCAATCAAATCCTAGGCCCTGCTAGGCTCTCAAACTTTCCAGCTTGTCAGGCTGCCAGTCTTGGGCACAGCTAAGTCGAGTCTGAGCTTTGGATCGTTGACTTGTTTGTCACGCTCCTCAAAGAGATCAGCTAAGCCCAATGGCCAGATGCTCACTTTGGCCAACTGGCTGAGCCCAGCTTTTTACATCCTTGACAAAAATGAGCAGTCTAAAGAGACCATCTGCTGCGCAGCACAAACCCCAACGCGAAAGGCATTTGGCATGGTGAGGAGTTGGCAGATCGTCTTTGCTGAGCAGGTTGGGTCCGCTCCAGACTGGAGATCTCGAGAGCACGACAGCTTGACTGGTCCGTTCCTTTTTTGGTCTGAGGCTTTGATCTGGCTTTGCATTGTTGGGACCCTCACATGGCAGGGTTTGGAAGAATGGGCAGCGCTGCTGAATATGATGCGGGGACAAGCACATACGTTCCATGGAATTGGGGACTGTGAACATGCTCTGCTTTGTATCCCTGCTATGCCTGAACCACCTGGGCGATGACAGAAGGGTCTCTGTGAACTCTTCTTGAAACTCCATGCAGACCGGCCTCAAACCCTCCTTTGCGAGTCGTCCTTGTAAACTTTCCAAATCTCTCCCGAAGCCCTTTCGTGAATGTCGCTTGCCGTTCCTTGAAGTCAGGGTTCTCAAGCCGTATCCAGTTCCAGACCACGCTCACTTCTTGACATCTCTTGGGAGGCTCTCCATCTCTGCACTGCTGCTTTCAGCTACATCCGCTCCTGCCTGATTTGTGATGACAACGGCCACGCCATGCTCGTCGGCTATGCGCTGCAGTTTCCGAAGAAACCGATTCAATGCCTGCAAGCGACCAGTGGCAATGGTAATGTCGGGGTGACAATGCTTCCCTGAGGCTCGCACCTGCTGGCGATCAGCTAGCTCTCCCCTGTCAACACATGCTAGCAGCTAGCACTTTCTGTTCTGAGCGAGATCTGCATGTTCAGGACTCAACCGGCCTGCCGCTGTAGTCGGTCCTAAAGAGACCCGTCGCACTATCAACGATCAGGACAGCCTGAGGGTTGCATGCTGGAAGTGAGGTGGCAAACAGCAGCAAGCCAGCGAAGCGAGGTTCCGGCATATCTCGACTCGCAAAAAACGCTGGCAGCTTCAACTAACAGCTTGTCCTGGGAGTCACGCTTTGCAAGCAACGTCATTCCATCAGACATACGATGACATACAACTTCTTGCATGGTCTGCAGTTGCCTTGAATGCAGGAGATCGTCGAGGTACTAGTATTGCTACGCTTTTCCACTGCACAGATGCTTTGACAATCTTTGACAACAACGTTACCCTGGTTGTCATGCAACAGGTGCCATCTCCCACTAAGGGCCTCACAAAGATTAGGAATCTCCCCTCCCAGTTGTGGCAATGCTTTCTGGAAATTTTTGGCACTGCCGAGTCAGAAGGTTTTGTACAATGAAAGAAAATGTGTCGAATGAACGAACAATGTCCTCACGACATCCTGTTCAAGCATCATGAGCATGTAGTTTGAATCTTGCTGTATAGTACTACACGCCCCTAGAAGATACTCGCCTCGTAAGTCCTCATCCTTGCAAGGATCTGTGTCAACTACACAAGGGACAAGACTTGCAGACACTTCTTTCCACGTCCCCTAAGCACATTCGTAACAACGACGCTCAAGGACCTGTTGCCAAAAAAGGTCTCGAATTCGCT